TGTGCTGTATTAACTGTGTGCTCCAGCTGTTTCAGGGGATGCATACCAGTTTAGTATAGTGGGTTTAAAAATGTAAAACTTGTTTCCATACATGTTTGCTTAACACACTAATATTGATGGGAGCTATAGTAGCTAGAAAGCTTTTTTCAGGTCCACTGAATACTAGAATTAGTATTATTAGAGAACCAAGGCAGCACATCAAAAATCAATACCTTCAGCAGTAATAGGAGAAAATCAATCACCTTTAAAAAGAAGGTTATTTATCTCGTACTAGCGGATTTTAGCCAGGCAGTGTCTCAGCCAATAGTGACCCAAGCAACACTGATAAGGAGATCATTGGAATTCAGTAAAGGCATGTGATGACCGGTCATGCTAAATTTAGTATGGAGCTAAAGATTAATGAGGCTTGGCTGGGTTAAGTCAGTATGGTCCGTTATAGAAATGGGATTTAGTGACTCATATCAGGCAAAATGCAACCGAATTTCACTCCTAATTAGCAACTATAGCTCCAAGATGTATGGTGAACATTACAGCTGCCCCGGCTTTTGTCATGATGTCAAATGAATATTGTTTCTCCGAGTCTCGCAGTAACTATGAGACAGCTCATGTGGTTATATGTTCTTATTAGTTTTTATCTAACTGTGCCACTTAAGTAGCATTGACAATCGTTTTGACATGATTGTAGATCTTTTATGGGTTTCCAGTTTAGCCAGCACATTTGCATTGAAATGCCAAGCAGTGCACTTCAGTGCTTAGGCTCTCAGTTCAATACAGATTACATTCAAGTACATTTTTAAAAAAGGACATTAGGGCAGTCTTTATGAAGCAGAGGCCCTCTGGTTGTAAGCTGCCTGAAGTCTGCATGTAAGCAAAGTTCATTCAAGTGTGAGAAATGCTATTCAGGCCACAATACAAAGGACAGAACTCTTGTCCCTGCCTGCAGGTTCTGCAGCTCACATTCAATCGATCAGTTGTTTGACACAGATATAAAATTTAATTTAGTCTAAGGTTTTTATGTCACAACAGTAAATTCAAGATAAATTCTTCTTTTTTACTCACTTGACGCAAATTACTGCAAAGAGCTCATGAAACTAAGGATTTGCATTGAATTAAAGCACACAATATGTAACGTTTATTATATCATTAAAACAGACTGTTGCCTTTTGTATGATGTTTTTATTCCCTTTTAATGGTATGATGCAAATTATGTCTTCATTGATAAGGCCAATTATTCAGATGTGCGCATAAAGTACCTTTTGTACACGATAAACGTGTCACACTGTTGTCAAGGCTTGCATTGAGTATTATTCCACTTATTCATGCCACATAAGAGTCATCTTAATTAATGTTTTGTACAATTCTAATTAACCACTTACTTAGTTAATGGGATCAAAAACCCAAGAAAAGCTTTTCCATTTTATATTGCCCATGCTGTTTCTTTATAGGGTGTTTTCTCACTTTTCTGATGATTAATTCATACTGCAGAGTTTGCTGTTTGGAAGAGCTGATGATAATCCTTGTTCCCTTACAAGGACCAAGTCATGTTTTCATAAAGTTCATTCTGAAGGACTGCATGGGTTTTTTTTGTACAACAGCTGTGTGGACATGTTCTTTTAAGGGTCACTGCATAACATTTACATACAAAGTTAATCTTTAACGGTACGTTTCAGCCTATGGAAACAGCTGTTTTTCTTGGCTGAGGGAATAAACTTTTATCTCAACGGAAAGTCATTTGTATGAACTTAAGCCTTTAGATATGTGGGGATGTAACCACATGTAATGAGGATTTGTGTCAAAGATGTAGGAGATGTAGGAATGATAAGGCAGTGTTTTTCAAATCTTGAGTCGGCCTGGTGGCAGCATCTGCATTTTCTGATTCTCTGAGTGTTTATTCAAAGCAGGAAAAACACAAAATGCGTCTTTTTTTAAAAGTAGTTTTTATTTAGGAAGTGAAACAAAATGCCCAGTGTTGTCTTTGTGCTTTACATAGTTTCAAACCGGCAACTGGAGGTCCCAAAAAAACCTCAGAGGAAGAACTCAAAACAAAGCGGGAAGCTCCGGGAAAAATAATCATAGTCATCATCACTCTGTACAGATCTGTAGAAATAATCAGACTCCAAAGTCACATCAATTCTTATTTACAAGGCCTCTTGTCACAAAATAGTCACATTTTCATTTGCTTTAAAAAAAGTCGTGGTGTAGATGCTTTCACAAATATGTTGTAAAATGGCACAGAATATTGTATATCGTAGGTGTGATTTGTTTGACCATATTTACTTGTGTTATTTAAGAACAGCACAGCAGGTGTCTGCATTTTTGTTGTTTTTACCTTTTTATTTATTATAATAGAAAAATGAGAAAGAGGTTGTAATTTCTACTTACAAGGCATTTTCTACCTGAATCTAAGCTTTTTCATTGTGCTACTTATGTTTGAAAAAAATGTTGTAGGATATAATTCATAATAGGACGTGTTTTTATATAAGAATAGTTCAACTAGCTTGTGGCTATAGTAGGCTACAGTAGTTCATAGTAGAATCTAAGTGTTCAGCAATGCTCTCTGGTGCTGAAATATCGACCTAACCTCTTCTTATAACAGTATTGGGAATCACTTCAACAAACTCACAACTGCCAGAGATAAGGACAAGGGGGGGGGGGGATAGTTTGAAAATTCACTGGAGTTTCTCATGAGTACTGTTGAGTCTAGAATTCACATATCTAGTTTGTCTTATGATTTTAACATTGAATTCAAGCTGAGAAAAGGGTTTAACAATGCTAACAAACTCAGGGATGATTCCCCAGAGGAGCAAGCATGGATTTGTTCAGAGGGTCCTGAGGGTCAAACAGACTTCTGTTTAGCACCACTGCTGTTGTGAAGTTATGTTTAAACAGTTCCACAATGAAAATATGTCACCATGGCAGAAGAGTCCAACAACTTGTATCTGTTCACATTCGGGATTTTTCTGTTTTTTCATCCATGTTTCAGCACCAGAGATCTACCCTCTACTTTCTACAATATTTTAGAATAAATAATACGAGGCAGGCAGTGCATAAACCATGTACAAAAAGATAGTTCCCACCCAACCCAGAGCCCTCCAATTAAAGGAGGTCAACCCTCTTTGTGAATCCCTGGAAGCCTCAGCATTTCCTAACAGCTCATACAAACATAATTGTCAATAATCTAATGCTGCCAATATATAATTGCAAAGAGCAGGCAATCTTTTTTAAAGATAATATGAAATACAAAAGCTGCAGAGGTTAAAAATCTGAAAACTGACTCTGCAGTCTCTGTTTCAATCTTTCTACAATTGTTCAAACAGTTCCCAATCACAAAAGTCACAGAAATAGCCTCAATGAATCACAGCTGAGTAAATTCCTGTGAATTTAGAGCTCAAAACCCAACCCTCCACTGTTCAGCACTAACTCCATCAGCTAATTCCCTGAAATTTCTTTTCTCACTACACAGAACAGTGGTAGTTTAAAAAAAAAAAGATGTAACAAGCAATTATGACTGACGCTTCCTCTACAACACCATGCATTATTGCTCTATCAGATGTAAATGAAATATTGCCCGAGACAGAAATTTACTTCAATTTTGCCATTCATATAAGACGTTTGGCAAAATGTCTCCGAAAATTGGCATAGATTCCATTGTTTAGGTTATTGTTATTTTTTGCATGCAAGTTTTTAGAATTAAAGTGGCGGACAAAAGTAAAAACGCACTCAGTATTTAGAAAGTGTCAAATGCTTTGGCATATTTTCAACAAAGGCAGAAAATGATAAAGTGCAAAATAATGCAAAAAATGTATAAAAACAGATCAATTCCTTAATAAATTTGCCAATAAATACTGTAAACGTAAGAAATCAAAATTGAAAATTAAGTTGGTCATTGGCAACTTAACTATCACATAACACTGTAAAAAGGTTTAACCTTTTGAGGAAAATGAGGACATTTTTAATGTCCAAATCCCCATCAGACATTAATAAGCAAAAAAATAAATAAATAAATATGACTAGGCAATAAGAAAACACTGGAGGAATACCCTAGTGTGTGTTTAAATCATCCGACACTGATCTGGAAGCCCAGTTTGTCTCCTTCGTCTCCTGTTTACTTTCAAATAAAGCACAAACGCCACTGTTACCTTTAGATTTAAAAAACACCATGTCCAGAGGTTTGAAACTAGTGTAATCTTCCCCTACATACGTGTACTCACAACTGTGCTACCGCTTATGGCATTTTTGTCGGTCTTCATTTTCACAGTTCTTGGGTTTGTCCATAGCCGACCATAGCGTACACAATATTGTAAGCATCAGTTGGTATAAAGCAAAATCTTCTCGAGAGTGTTGTTTACTTCTGGATGTTAATTGCTATGTGCTTTCTTTGCTTTTTTATCTCATCATAGGTTCAGCTCAGGGCCACTCTCACTAAAAGCAGGACACCAGATGCAGCCTCTGATTATTAAGAGTGAAACATATTCCTCTTTGCTGGATGTCTTTGCAGAAAAAAATGGATGATGTGATTTTTTGCTTTCAACACGGTGAAAAGCCTGTCGCTGCCAGACAGAAAGATGGAGGAGCAATTGTGCTTTCATGTCATTTCCTCATAAGTTGGAAAAAAATCTGGTGAGGATAAATATGGACATAAATAGATAATAAATAGATCTAGCGATTCAAAAATGATTAGCTAGATGTGCTGTGCTTTATTTATCTTCTCAGAGTCCCAAAGGGGACAAATCTGTATTGAAGCAAGTGACAATCTAAATCAGGCGTTTAAAACTCACTCGACTTTCAGATGAGGAGAAAAAAAACAAAAAACAGATGAGAGTTCTTCAGAGAAGAAAATCAGGTGTGTCTTCAGTCTATTTTCTGACGTGAGCCTCCTCGCTCCTTAGCGGAACTCGAGCACTTCTTTTTGTAAAGCGGAAAAAAGAAAATCAGCAAAAATCTGACGTAAATAAAGCAAATCGACCCCCCCCCCTAGGTGCGGCTCAAAGAAAATCAAGTCATTCGCTCAGCGAGCTCATGGGGGAGAAGGCCCCCTTGAAGCACGCCGACTCGTAGTGCTTGTTCAGGTAGCTCTTGAGCGCGAAGGTCTTGTCGCAGCGCTTGCACTTGTAGTGCTTGAAGGCCGAGTGGGTCTGCATGTGCGCGCGCAGGTTGGAGCGGTCGGCGAAGGCCTTCCCGCAGTGCGCGCAGCCGAAGGGCTTCTCGCCGGTGTGCGAGCGCATGTGGCCCTGCAGCAGCCAGGGCCGGCTGAAGGCCTTGCCGCACACGTCGCACTTGTGCTTGAGGTCGTGGGTGAGCAGGTGCATGGCCATGGCCGGCATGGACACGTAGACCTTGCCGCAGGTGGGGCACTTCTTGGCCATCTTGCTGTCGATGCTCCTGTGCGTCTGCTTGTGCCGGCTCAGGTTGGACGAGGTGGCGTAGGTCTTCCCGCACTCGCTGCAGGTGTGCCTCTGCGCCGCCCCCCTCGGGTTGCCCGCGACTTTCCTCCGCGACCGGCCGTCCATGATGAAGAAAGCGTCGACGGAGTAGCCCTCGCTGACCGCCGCGTCCCCGTTGATGTACCCACCGGCCGAGGAGGACACCTCGGACCTCGGGCTGTCCGGCTGGTCCGAGTCGCCATGGATGTCGCCGTGAATGGTGGAGTAGGTGTCGTTGATGTGGCCGTAGATGATGGACGAGGGGCTCGGGGAGGGGACTTTCGATATGACCGATGTGTCACTTCCAACGACGTCATCGTAAGGATTTGAACTCAGGTAATCACTCACATAGCCTGAGGAGACAGAAGGAAAAAAGGTTGGTTCTCTCAGTATGTTAGGTCGCATTATTTAGCCAACCGCTACAACTGGATTTGGTCATTTAGTTGGACTACTAGTTCCAGTCCAGGGCAATTTGGTTTCTGGGGTTGGGCATCTATGCATGAGGGATGTGACTCCCATCTGTATTATCTCAGAAAGTCAGACCAGCATTGAGAAACTCAGCTCAGTCTAATAAGTCAACACATATTTTCAGGTTCAGGTCAAGACACAATAACTCATTTTTTCCACTATTATCTAAAGTAGTTGATTGTGAATTTGGATATAGCCAAAGTAAAAACTGTTTTTTAAAAATGGTGTAAACATGATCGATGAGTGCTGCTAAAAGAATGCTCTGCATTTGAGTTTAACCAAAACTGAGACACTCATTTTCCCAGCATGGCTATTTCAGCATCATCTGGAGCCACCAAACCCCTGAGAATAACACTTTTCATCACTTGCACTGCACAGCATAGGACCTCTGAAGCATGTGTTTAGCAATATTCATCAAAAATCCGAACAAAAACCAGTAACCCATAATCCATGACAGAACTGGCTTTTTTTTTTTTAATGAAAATAAGCTTTTGAGCACCTTTGTGGTCCAAAGACAGCAGGACACAAAACAATCTGTACCATCCTGTAGCGGAAGTTGAATGAGTTAACACCCTATGCCATACAAAGTGGGGCAGTGCTTCAGGCTTGTCCACAAAATATGGATCTAATATTTTGGTTTTTAAAGTTACAATTGTCCTGAGGACAAAGAGGGATCTTTAGAATCCACTGATTCACGCAAGCGCTAACATTTTAATGATTTTACTTACTAGTAATTTCAAAGACAAGTTAATTATCTAAGACGAGAGTTGTTTAACATTTTAACTTTAATAATATTTTGATGACGTCTGGGGAAGGTATTGGGCGACCGCATTACAAATGGACTGTCCAGGACTATAAAATCAGCATGTGCATTATACTTTAAGACAAATAGTTTACATTCCCCCACACCTTCTTTTTTTATTTTTTTTAGGTGATATAAAGTAGAAAGGAGAGGGAAACTGTGTGGTATTTATAGTGATAGTAAAATGCTTTTATGTCTTTGGCAGCGAGAAGGAGACACTTTCCTCTCAGTGGGAAATCTTTATTTTTCATTGGAGGGTTCATTGAGCACACTTGCTCTTCATCAGCAGCACCCTCCTTGACAGGTCTACTGCTGCACAAAGTCACACCCCGCTGCTGTCAAAACTTAGACTGATGTAAACAGAGCATCTGTATTACAGTAACTGGGGGGGGGGTCTATGTTCAGGGGTACACTGGCACTGACAGTCTCCCCTTTAGAGGCTAAACAGCTCGAATATTCGCCGGAGAGTTGGAAATTCCTCAACAACCTGCATTTTCCTGCACAAGCCCCTGACGAATCTGAGCAATTATTTTCTGATATCAGAAACTTCATTATTTCTATTATTGGCCTCTACTCAACAGGCTGAGCCCTTTGCAGACACCAGGAGAGACTGGTAGGTAATAACCCACAGCCACAACTCCTCTGGATCTACCGATCAATAGCTCTCCATTTCAATTAGCACTCTGTGAGCATTAAGACACAGACAGAGGAGGAGATACTGTTGCTGGTAATATAATTTCATGATGCAGTTCTGAGAAAAGCTCAGATGTTGATCAATAATATGATGAGAAGATGAGACAGGGCACAGAGCAAGGAGAGTCAGAATGAAAGAAAGATTTAGATGGAGAGCACAGTCTGGAAAAGAGGAATTTTACTTTCGGTGCAAATATTTTGTGGTTCATAATATAGTCTTTGACAGAGCATGGGTAAATATTTGTATCCATTTCGCTGTAAACTAAGGTAAGCCTCTGATGAATAAGTAGAGGTACAGAATGAGACTGCATGTTTCCAGTAAAAGTACGGTGGTGAACTGGTCACCACTGAGCTCTTCGGATAAGGTGGACATGTAAATCTGCTTCCTTTAACTGCTGGTTCAAGTTGAGACTAAACTAATAAAGATGGCAAATTTCTCGAGGCTGCGAAAAGATCTGTAAGAATTAAGATACAGTACAGTCTCAGAGATCTTATGACGTGTTCTCTGTAAGTGCTGTCTGCTACATATAATCTAGTTTTTGACGATGTGCCTCCTCAAAATAGTGGTCAAAGAAACTCTCATTTTGACGAAAAGGCATCTCCACCGACAAATTTCATGTTCAAAAGAAAAAATACTAGTGTATGTGTTAGTAAGATCGCTTTAAATCTAAAAGCATTTAAATGTCTGACCTAATTGTATAAACTCAAGCTTCTCCAAACTGGATGAGGAAACCACAATAATGAGGATGGGCACTGAATTACCAAGACCTAAATGGACCTAACTGGTCTGTACATGCACCAGTTACCTATTTTCTATCTTTTATAAAAACCATAGATGTAACTGCCAATACACACAATATACAAAACAAGCTGTGCCATCATTCAGTGTCAAAGCAGTGCTACAAGCTTGACCACAAAATGTGGATCTTATACCATGTGTTTAAAAGTTATGATGCTCCCGAGGACAAAGAGGGATCTGAAGTATTCACTGCATCCATACAATTTAAATAATTTTACATAATACAGAGAAATGGACCTGGGCGATCGGTTGAATGGTTTCTCATTTTGTTCACAGCATCACGCCGGTGGACAGTGGTCCTAAACTTCTCACTGTGTCATCTAGATTCGCTTTTTTTTTCCGAAAAAAAAAGCAACATGAAATATTCATCCATTTATTCATCCATTTTCTATACCCACTATTCCTCCTGGTGGTCATAGGGGTGCCGGAGCCTGTGTCCAGCTGTTATTGGGTGAGAGGCGGGGCACACCATGGGCAGGTGCCAGTCCATCACACACCCCCAGCCAGACTAAAAAACATTATCCCGCACTTAACCGGTCAAATTTGACCAATTAACCTAATCTGTTTGGTTATTTCTTTTAACATAAGTTTACTTCCCATCAAATAAAAGCAAGATCACTCCCTGATAGCAGGTTGCAAAAACAACCTGAGCTGTTTGTATTTGCCCTTTGCCATGACTTCTCCCTGTTCCTCTGTCTTTATGAAACGATATATGACTATTACTGCTATTAGGTGTCCCTCTCCACATCTGCGTTGAGTCTCTGATTGTTTGGCTCTCTGTCTTTGTCTCCATCTGTCACCTCAGCGTTCATTTCAAAGTGCTTTAGCAGCATTAGAGTCGATGGCTGTTCTAAATGCTTATTAAAGATTAAATACTCTGCCAAACCCAAGTGATTCCTCTTTTATGTGTCTTTGAAATGCAGAGAATTAGAAAAAGGAGAGAAACGTGGAGAGGAAATGAAAGAGAGAAAAAGAAAAAAAAAAAAAAGCTGCAAGCTACAATTTAATTTTTGATCCAAACCAGCAGAGACTGATGCACACTTGTGTGCTTTGGACACTTGTAGGTCACAGACTGCTTCCTGAGTGTGTGTGCATGCATGTGTGTGTGTGTGTGTGTGTGTGATGCTGTGCACTCAGCTGTGCAGGCTGGCTGGGAAATGTGCCGAGTTGACAGAAACACAGCAATGCTAGTGTGTGTTTTTGTGTGTGCAACAAGCTGCAGTCGCTTCCCCCCAGAACCTTGTTATATTTATAACGGAGAATGGCTTCCTCCGGTTTTTACACGTTTGCCTCAGAACTGCTCCTGCATGCTTCCCTGCTCACATCCGTCACCCGAACACCTCGGATCTTTTCATCTTACATCTGACCTTGGTCCAATGTGAAAAGCACCGGGCTGCAATCACACTAAACGCAGGTCCTCCTGCAGCAGCAGCAGGGAATTCTCCTGTTTCCCATTTGTTTTAGTCCACTAGAGGGCAGTTATGAGCCGATAGATGCAGAAAACATGCAAATTATTGTCCTGCAAAAGGGTTTTGCACACTATCGGGTAGTTACTATAATCATGCCCCATACTTTTCATCATTAATGACTGAACTTAAGTATTTGTCAAACCTCATTTGATGAAAACAGCTGCCGGCTTAGTGGTCTAACAGATGGTCATTGGCCCCAGTGCAGGATGGCCAAACCCATCACATCGATGAGAACTTTAATTTTTTTTTAAGGGTTCTGGGCCAAAAGGTCTTATCATCACACCTTAACCATTTCTCAGCATCGTGCTCAAATGCTTTTTTAGGCTTTAATGTTAATAACATATATGTTTCATAAATCTGCACCTGCTCTGTATTTTTTACCTGGAGAATAAATAATGTACACTTTCTGACTCACAACACAACGTGTGTATGTGTGAGATCAAAGTCAGTGCCGTGTTAACTTAACAAAGATTAGTATTTTCATCCAACACCTCGCCCAGAGTAAGTAAAATCAATACCGACGGATAGATCCAACTCCCTGAATTCCAAACGCTTTCCATTTTTCACACACTTCCACAAATATTTGACTGAGACTCACTGAGTTGGTATCGTATTTAGCCCGAGCATCAGGGATTATGCGATGTGTGGGAACCACCTGCTGTCAATCTGGCTGGGAGAATATTATTGAAATATTGGTATAGACACGGTTCCTGGAGAGAATACTGACTCAAATGGCATAATTGGCCACAGAAAAATAGATAATCCTAGTGCATATGACAGTGCAGATGACATAAAGTATGAAAATAAACATTCATATGAGTATAGGAGGTGCCCTGTTGCTGCCTATGGGATAACATTTTTATACTTAACTCACCTGGGTTGAGTAAAGATTTGATCACGTACACAATGATTTGATGCAGGTCATAAATGTTAAATGCGTGAATGAAAATAACTCTAATCTACTCACTCGACATCCAGAGTTGTTACAGAAACAACATGACAACATCTATTACAATGAAAAAGGAGTAATGGAGTTTAATGGCTTAAACTGTTTGCACTTCCTATCTGCTGCACACAACCAAGAATGAACAAAAACTGGTTTTCATGTATAATGTATATTTTCTTTCTAATTAATTAAATTTGGTTCATGTTTAAGGAGTGTCTTTTAAGACAAACCATTGAGCTCTGTTCTCATATCTGATCTTTGTGTCACACGTTAACATCGGAGGTTGTCAGGTTTTTTGTGTTTGTCTGACCTCAAACCAGTTTCAAAATTATGTGTCACGCAATACTGCTTCATAGAAAGAGAACATTTTAATTACTAAAATCTGTGCTTGAAATGGGTATGTTTGAGGTTTTGACCTGAGTTTGACCCTGTAATTCTCTTTTGCTCGTTCCTCTGAAAGAGTCATGACTAATGCTTTAAATCAAGAAAATTACGGGGGGGGAAACATTGGGTGATTTATTAGCTTCCTTGCAAATGTGTGTGGGGGTGGGTGACTAACCTTTGTCGTGGTGATGGAATCTCAGACTGAGCTCCTCTCTCCGGCTGTGGCCATAGGAACTTTCCAGCTCAGCAGCTGAGAAATCGTCCAGTTTGACTTTCTTCACTAAGAAAGATCGCGGCATGATGGGGCAGCGGCTGCTCTTTTACTCATACAAGTTTGCAATTCAGCCCTTCTCCCTTCAGATTTTGAAGTGGTCAAGTGAGGTCTGAACAAAATCAAAACCTCAAATTGGGGATCGGTTTAATTTGATCAGATAATCTTCTCTTCTTCTTATCTAAAAATGCAACATTTGCGTTATTCCATGAAACAGCTTTAAAAGTGGAGGCATGGCTTTTAAATCACAAAAAAACCAAGCACTTGCTGCTTGCTTTACGTTTGAAATGGACTTTTACAACGATTTGGCAAATGCAGGCTGTCTTGGTGTGCAATTCTTTGACTTTTCGGTCAAATTCGGTTAAAAAACAACAACCTTCTTTTAAAAAAAAATCTCTGGAAGACTCTAAAAGCTGAAATCGTGGATATAAAAAATAAAAAACAGAGATACTGTATGTCCCCCTGCGTGTGGTTTGTTTTGTCCCCGGTGGCCGTCAGAACGCGGACAGCTCCCGGTCAGCAGTTCTGCACGCGCTCCTGTGAAGCCTCGTGGTTTCAGCACCGGACAGCTCCCCTCTGTCCGAGGATGAGACGCAGAGCAGGGCAACGTCTGGACACCTTTACAGACGATCAACCTCTCAGAAATCTCACAAAAACAAACCCCCAAAAAAAAAAAAACGTCCGACGCAAGGGGCACGTAGAAGCTTCTCAAAAATATCTCTTCTAAAATAAAAATAAAAACTGCAGCTGGGTGGTTGAAATCTCTCCTGCTCTCCCCTCCTTCTGTTCTTCTCTCTTGCAGCGCGCGTGGAGCTGCGACTCTCTGTGATGCACGAGATCAGCTGTTGCAGCTTTATAGGGCGCGAGAGAGAGCCAGAGGGGGGGGGGGGAGAGCAGGA